CTCCCTCTCCCACCCTCGCCCACGTGCTACCATTGGTCCACTCCCATACCTGCTCCCATTGGCTCGGGGCAGGCTACACCTTTCACGTCCCTGCCTATAAAATCCAACTCCTCACACCCTATTGGCATATTCATCGCCCTGATGACGGAGGCAGTATGACCTCTGAAACGTTGGTTAACATCGACCAGACTACACAGCGCAATAACCCAGAAGACAGAAATCTTCATATTCACCGCTGTGAGAACCTCAAGTCTTACAATGATAACCCAGTTTAACGAACACTCTGGGGCCTTCTTTCTTCTGAATTTACCATTCATAAACATTGTAATTAAGTGGAATCCTGGATGGTAAGTGATAACTGCCTAATAAGAGTGTTTATGCCATCCCAGATAAATCTAGCTTCTGCTGTGTTTTTGCAGTACATTTGTAAATTATTATTTTCTCTTTAAGTAAATAGTGTGGATGTATGCATAACCTGTTTATAAGGGCCGTTTCACACTGTTGACCGGTCGCCGGCGACCCAGTCGCTGAACGACCAAACGAGGAGACCAGCAGGGTGACCAGTGCAGACAGAGGCCTCAGCCTCAGTAAAAAAAAATACTTTGGAAGCAGTATGGACGTCGACGAGATCACTATAATGATAAAAATTCGTTTCACTAGAAACAGGAAAAAGAGGAGTAGAAAACACTCTTCCCACTGACTTTTTTCATCTCCCTCTTTGCATAATCGGGACTTGCAAGGTCCCAAATGGCTCTTCGTGACTCTACGGTCGAAATAAATCTTTCAGTATCAAAACTCATGATATACTGATCACTTGAGTGACATGAACACGATGGGAGAAAACAAGAAACAATGGATGTGTCACCTCTCTGAGCTCTGGTCGCTGACTGAGTCGCCCGCAATGTGAACACGTGATTGCCATCTATGTATCTCTTGTTCGTTGGTCTCCCGTGCGTCGCTCACTGCTTGTTGGTCGACGGCGGCCATTGGTCGTTCAGCGACTAAGTGTTGAAATAAGGTCAGATTTTATAATTAAAATCATGGTATGCTGGAGTGTCACTGGATAGGGAATATTTTATTTGTGTTGTATTCCATTTTAAAAGTTATCAACATTCCTGATTTAAACTTCTGCTGTGACTTTGAACACTGTTCACTACCTAATGTCTGCTTAGTCAAAAAATGTTTATAAGAAATAATTTTGCAAATTTGTGATTTACACTTCCAGAGTTCACCAAAGTACAAAACATAACCCTGTAAAAATATATATTTTCTTTTGTTCCAAACATTTTAATACAACATTTTATTCTTTTGTGGAAGATATTTTAACTTCAAAAATGCATAGGAAATTGTGACATACTTGTGCTGGACAGTCATTTAATTGCAGTGGGATTTCAGTATGAAAGGATAAAGGTAGATCATCATATCTGTAGCTATGACAGTTGTTACATCAGTTTACAAATCTGGGAGATGAGGCATGTGCTAAAATTACTGATTATAGATTCAGTTCAGGTATAATTACTGATTTACTCTCAATTTCAGCATACTAGTTAAGTCTGCTGGTTAATCACATAATTACCGCATATTCCTTCGTGAAGAAATTTTTGTTTACTGTTTTCCAAGACGCCTTGAAGAGCTTGTTTTTTATTTTTTAAAGCAGATAATCTAAATAATAACGTGGAATATCACAGTATCAGATACCAATACGGAGAAACTTCCAGCAAACAATGTTGAAATGAAAGCATGCATTTCTGAAATATACTATCCCACAGTGATACAAATAACAGTAAGTCTTACGAACCAATCTTGGTAGTCATTGTGTATTGAAAGCCTTTGATTATAGAAATATTAAAATATTTTTGTTCCTGGTTCATTTTAAATGTGTTTCTTTCATTCATAATACAGGTATCAAAACAGTAAGTGGAATGTATTAATAATACATGTATTAGAACATCAGTTTGTAATAAGAATATTGTAATATTTGTGAAGTGTTAAGATTTAAAAAGTATTTAGTCTCTGAAGCATGTAATTGTGTGAAAACAAGGTAAATCTGTGTTTTTATGTTTGCATTTGATTCAACAGTATAAAATGATTTCCAAGACTTCATTCCCTCTTGTTGGACACTTGCTAGATGCAGTAGGAAGTTTTGTACTTCAAGACTGTTACCTAGTGGTAATTGGGCAAGTTGTTTCAAAATATTTGTGTAATTTTTGGTTGTTTAACAATTATTCTCTGTGTTGTTAGAGTATGTAACATTGTAAGAATGAATTTGTATGAAATTATTAGATTTACAAATGATATTAGCATTATGAACTACCATTCACATGAAAAATCATAATTTGTTTATGAAAACCTGAAAGCTCTCTGAAATTTAAAACTACAAATTTTCAGGAACCGTAGGCATGTGAAGAAACAGAAGTAGGATGTGAGGTTCTCATGGTGGTGAGTATATAGATGGCTGTCTTCTGGGTTGTAGTACCATGTAGTCTGGCAGAAGTATACTGTTTCAGAGGTCATCTTCAAATTCACATCTGATTTGCTTGAAATAGCAAATATAGAATGCATAACCATAAGTTCTATACTCTACAAAACCACACACATTACTATGCTTCATTCTTCCAGAAAATATTATTAAACCTGATAAGTTGGTATTTATCTTTTGGAAATGCAATCCCTTAAGCATTTTCAATTTTGTGAATACTATACTTTGAAATTTAAACAGAAAGTACATGATCAATACACACTAATGAAATAAGATTAACACAATATGAACACTTGCTAACTGAAATGCAGAGCATAACTTGAAAAATATTCCACCACATTTCTGCAACTTCACAGCTTCAAGCCTAATGCAGACTGATAATGAACTGTTATTTTCAGCACAGACACAACTGTTAATACTGGTCTAATATATAAAGTAAATACAAACACTTTCTCCTGGTTTCTTCTGTGTCCTGCCTATAAAAACATGCGTTTCTTCAAAGATGGCCATCTTCTGGGCTGTAGCGCCATGTAGTACAGCAGAAGTTTCCCAACATTTCACATCATCAGGGTAATGATCATCATTGCCCTGATGATGAAGGCAGCAAGGACCTCTGAAACATTGGTAAACCTCTACCAGACTACATCGTACTACAACCCAGAAGACAGCCATCTATATACTCACCACCATGAGAACCTCACATCCTACTTCTGTTTCTTCACATGCCTACGGTTCCTGAAAATTTGTAGTTTTAAATTTCAGAGAGCTTTCAGGTTTTCATAAACAAATTATGATTTTTCATGTGAATGGTAGTTCATAATGCTAATATCATTTGTAAATCTAATAATTTCATACAAATTCATTCTTACAATGTTACATACTCTAACAACACAGAGAATAATTGTTAAACAACCAAAAATTACACAAATATTTTGAAACAACTTGCCCAATTACCACTAGGTAACAGTCTTGAAGTACAAAACTTCCTACTGCATCTAGCAAGTGTCCAACAAGAGGGAATGAAGTCTTGGAAATCATTTTATACTGTTGAATCAAATGCAAACATAAAAACACAGATTTACCTTGTTTTCACACAATTACATGCTTCAGAGACTAAATACTTTTTAAATCTTAACACTTCACAAATATTACAATATTCTTATTACAAACTGATGTTCTAATACATGTATTATTAATACATTCCACTTACTGTTTTGATACCTGTATTATGAATGAAAGAAACACATTTAAAATGAACCAGGAACAAAAATATTTTAATATTTCTATAATCAAAGGCTTTCAATACACAATGACTACCAAGATTGGTTCGTAAGACTTACTGTTATTTGTATCACTGTGGGATAGTATATTTCAGAAATGCATGCTTTCATTTCAACATTGTTTGCTGGAAGTTTCTCCGTATTGGTATCTGATACTGTGATATTCCACGTTATTATTTAGATTATCTGCTTTAAAAAATAAAAAACAAGCTCTTCAAGGCGTCTTGGAAAACAGTAAACAAAAATTTCTTCACGAAGGAATATGCGGTAATTATGTGATTAACCAGCAGACTTAACTAGTATGCTGAAATTGAGAGTAAATCAGTAATTATACCTGAACTGAATCTATAATCAGTAATTTTAGCACATGCCTCATCTCCCAGATTTGTAAACTGATGTAACAACTGTCATAGCTACAGATATGATGATCTACCTTTATCCTTTCATACTGAAATCCCACTGCAATTAAATGACTGTCCAGCACAAGTATGTCACAATTTCCTATGCATTTTTGAAGTTAAAATATCTTCCACAAAAGAATAAAATGTTGTATTAAAATGTTTGGAACAAAAGAAAATATATATTTTTACAGGGTTATGTTTTGTACTTTGGTGAACTCTGGAAGTGTAAATCACAAATTTGCAAAATTATTTCTTATAAACATTTTTTGACTAAGCAGACATTAGGTAGTGAACAGTGTTCAAAGTCACAGCAGAAGTTTAAATCAGGAATGTTGATAACTTTTAAAATGGAATACAACACAAATAAAATATTCCCTATCCAGTGACACTCCAGCATACCATGATTTTAATTATAAAATCTGACCTTATTTCAACACTTAGTCGCTGAACGACCAATGGCCGCCGTCGACCAACAAGCAGTGAGCGACGCACGGGAGACCAACGAACAAGAGATACATAGATGGCAATCACGTGTTCACATTGCGGGCGACTCAGTCAGCGACCAGAGCTCAGAGAGGTGACACATCCATTGTTTCTTGTTTTCTCCCATCGTGTTCATGTCACTCAAGTGATCAGTATATCATGAGTTTTGATACTGAAAGATTTATTTCGACCGTAGAGTCACGAAGAGCCATTTGGGACCTTGCAAGTCCCGATTATGCAAAGAGGGAGATGAAAAAAGTCAGTGGGAAGAGTGTTTTCTACTCCTCTTTTTCCTGTTTCTAGTGAAACGAATTTTTATCATTATAGTGATCTCGTCGACGTCCATACTGCTTCCAAAGTATTTTTTTTTACTGAGGCTGAGGCCTCTGTCTGCACTGGTCACCCTGCTGGTCTCCTCGTTTGGTCGTTCAGCGACTGGGTCGCCGGCGACCGGTCAACAGTGTGAAACGGCCCTTATAAACAGGTTATGCATACATCCACACTATTTACTTAAAGAGAAAATAATAATTTACAAATGTACTGCAAAAACACAGCAGAAGCTAGATTTATCTGGGATGGCATAAACACTCTTATTAGGCAGTTATCACTTACCATCCAGGATTCCACTTAATTACAATGTTTATGAATGGTAAATTCAGAAGAAAGAAGGCCCCAGAGTGTTCGTTAAACTGGGTTATCATTAATAAATTCATGCAGAAAACACATCTCTACTATTGCATCCAGGGAAGGAGTTTGCTGTGTATGATATGCCTACAAACATCCCACACAGGGATTCCATACCCTCACATTCACAATATCACAAATAATAATAAAAAACAAAACAAGAAATTTATACTTTCCACACACAAGATGCCATTTCAGTATGCCTAATAATTTAACCTTTTGTTTACAATCATCAAGAATTATGAAAGGCCAAAGTGTTGTTATAATAATGATAAAAGTCGATTAGAATTGAAGGTTTGTATTTTGATGTGAGGCAGGCTTCAAGCCAAGCAGTGTCATTCAACCTGCATCAAAAGAAAAAGAAAAAAAAACTTGATTACTCTGGGCACACGGAAATATTAGAAATTTTTAAATCATAAATATCAAAATTAAGGCAGTTCCTTAAAAACAAAATCCTACACCTGCCAACATTAAATCACATACTTCAGATTATCGTTCAATTAATATATGTAAACATAAAAGTAACACAGATGTACACCCCACTAAAAGGATGAATATGTACAATGTTAACAACTCCATCTTAGACGGTGTTTTCTAAAACAAGTACACAGCACAGATAGTGAATAATGAATTAGAAAGGATGTGGAAGGAAGTGACCATGGCCAAATTTGAGGTATTATCCCAGGATCTGCCTGGAGGGACTGCAGAAAACCACAAAAAAAAAAAAACAATCAGAACAGCCAGTCTCCAGGCTGAGATTTGAACACATGACCTCCCGAATATGAAGCAGGGGTGTTAACCACTCGAACACAAAACAAGTTTCAGTGGGTTTTTTAGTCAGTTATCAATGCCAGAAGCAAGTGTGTTAATGCAAACAGGATACAGAGGACCACAAAATGACAATGTCAATTATCTTTCCTTATTAAAACACATTCTATATGTACAATGAGAAAATAACTTTCACTGTGAATCATGCTCATGTTTATTTAAAAGAAATACATAAAATTTATAATCATGCATTAATTTATGAACATACTGCAACTTTATGAGACGCAAAAGAACTTCAATAAAGGTGTTACTGCAGGTAGCACACAACCACAATCATCATGTTTTATCTACATTACCATCCACGATTTTGAGGAATAGAGAAGGCATTGCCGCACGCCGTTTACCTGTCCAGATCAGGAACTTCCCGTCACAGGATCTGAAGGTCCTGGTCCCTACCACTTTCCACTCTGCTGCTGGGATGTTGGTTGTGCCCCTACAGGATGCGAGGGGGAACCTTTCTCTGTCATTCCTACCAACATTGGTATTCTCATATCGGGGACAAAACAAAATAGCTCTATCATCCCAATATTCTGTGTCCCCAAATTTGAAACAGATCAATTATATCCAGATGTGACAGCCTTAATAACACATTGAGAACTGGAGTATGGTAATGTCTCCCACTTAATGGGCAGTGATAAATGAATATACAGCATTTCAAGAATGATAAAAGGCAGACTAAAACCTATCTTGCTCTCAATCTATCCAACAAAAATTCTAAATTAAACATCTGTGCTTCTATGCTAAAATCCAGCAAATAATACTGTTAAATATCAGTGAGATGCAAAAACAATGTAAGACACAAATTAAATTTCTAACTTACGAAACTAGTTATCAATTTTATGGCATAATAAAATTATTACAAAAAAAAAGAGGTTACTATACTCCAATCACAGTCAACAAAAGAGAAAGCACAAGTTCCTTGACTGGTCCTCAATGTGTTTATAACGAAATTAAAACATTTGAACTCCAATTGAACAACATTTTTACAAAGAAAATAATTTTCAAAATAAAAGTATAACTACTCCCAATTTATTTTAATGGTTACAATCTATTAATTATCAATAACTATGTTCACAGTAAACATCAGATGAACTAATTTATAAAATTAAAGAAAGAGAAATTTACACAAGTATACTATATCGCTAAAAATAACTAGTGCAGCTTAACTGCTATTATAAAAGTGGTCACACAAGACACACAAATGAGAGGGCAAATTAAATGACATTTTAACTCACATATGTGTATTCTTAGACACAGATAGTGACCAGAGTGGAATTCATCTGTACAGTTATTTACTTGGCACATTAATTTGGTAATGAACATATTTTGAGTGGTGGGTAATTTTAGATAATTATAAACATACTGCAAACTGCTAAGGAATTGCTAATGTGTATATGTGATTAGATCTAATATAATATAATTTGCTCTTGTGGTATGTTTATGTAACTGTATTGCATTTCTAGGTATACTTTGAATGTGGTATACCAAATCCTATCACTAAGATCTACAAAAACAGTTCTCAACCTTTGAAAAATATTGGGCTACATTCACCCTTCTTATTAACTCTTGAACCACTCAGATATAAGTGAGATCTTTCAAAACTTCCTGACAGTTTATTAAAAATGCTACTGCCCAACTACCACAAACAAGTTCACATATTACTAAGTGTCTGTAACAAGTATATCCATTTCTTGTTTTTATCAATTAAGCTCTTGAAATTAATTGATTTAGGCACTAACAATCTTTTCATTATACAGATGTTCAATAATACATATATGTGCACAGGTTGCACAAAGCATATCACACACATGTAGCCCATTGATAACCAGAAAGGGAATAATACAAAACTTACTTACATTCACAGTGACTACGCAGTGAATGTTTACATATGCCTCACAATGAAATGAAGGCCTATTGCCTGCCAGGCATAGGAGTCACCTTAAACTTGGTTCATAAGACGTGAGTTTCTAAGAGTACAACAATAGGCAGTCATAAAAATAAATTAAATATGCACCCATTCTTACAGTTTAATGTTCTAATTATTTATTAATCTTGTTTCATGAATTTCAAGTGAAAATAATACCAGCCATAGTAGCCCATAGAAAACATTCAGTACACTACAACAGTTGCCCTAATACTTCTCTCATGATTGCAGTTTGTATCAACAATGGCTAGAGTCATAATGCAGTTACTACATTCATTGCTATTAATTAAATTTCTAACATGTAAGACTTGATATTCTCACAGCGGCGAGTATGAAGATTTCCGTCTTCTGGGTTGTTGCGCTGTGTAGTCTGGTCGATGTTAACCGACGTTTCAGAGGTCATACTGCCTCCATCATCAGGGCGATGAATATGACAATAGTGTGTGAGGTGTTAGGTTTATAGGGCCAGAAAGTGAAAGGTGTAGCCTGCCCCGAGCCAATGGGAGCAGGCGTGGGAGTGGACCACTAACAGCTTATTTCAATAACCAACTATTTATCACCTAAATAATAATTGAAAAATATGTTTAACACTTCTTTTGAAGCAAAACCCCAGCCAAGTGATACTTTTCCAGTAAACAAAAGCAGTGATGAAGATGGATTTTCCTGAGTTGTAGCACCATGTAGTGTGGTAAAAGGTTATCAACATTTCAAAGGTGCATGCTGCTTCCATCATCAGAGTGATGGCAATAACCACCCTGATGGAGGCAGCAGACCTCTAAAACAACAGTAAACATCTGCCAGACTACATGACGGTACAGCCCAGGATACAGCCATCTTCATCCTTGCTCTCAGGAGAACCTCAAATCCAAAAAGAGTGATTCTTACAGGGGTCTAGCTAAACAGCTAAAAATATGGCACCTCAGAAGGTCTCTTTACCTGGTGTATATGTAATCTTATCTTGTGGATTGAGGGATGTGTTTTCAGTTGCATTACTATCACCTGGGGGCGGCATTGCAAACACTGATGAAGATGCTGGTTGCGATGTTACAGCCGGACCTGCAGATTCATCATCACTTGGTTCCTCCTGCAACAGAACAAATCCAATACCACTGGTGTCAGCAAATAAACATATTTCCAACATGTGTAAATAAATGTTTACATTTTATAATGTACAATTCTAATAATGAACATTGTTTAATGTCCTATTCCTGTAAGGCAAATAATAGTAATGATTGTGTTGTATGTGTAGAATTTAATATTTACATATTGTCCATGATTCATAAGTTGATTAAGCCAAGTGACTATGCAGCAGAGAATATAGCTTCAATCCAGTAAATAATGCTGGATTTATTTTTAGCCACTACCTCTAGAAAGGCTTTGGAACTTATCCACTACTGAATTCAGTGAGTACTAGAAGAATTCCCTCACCTCCTGTTAAAGTATGCAAGTCTTTCACACATGAGCCATTTCCATCCCTTACAAGTCAACTAGCTTTGGGGTTGCGGACAACCATGTAAACTAATGGTGGTGGTGGTGGTGATAGTAATTGCTTCTTTTTTTTTTTAAGTTTTCTGATATACAAACCCAAGCCAAAGAAAAGGTATAAACAATCATGGGATACAAGTGATGAAATCACAGAGAAACTGTGAAGTGAACGATAGAACAGAATAGTTTATCTCATCTCCAGTCACCAACACTGCACTGCATTGTACTGCCTCCATCAATCAGCACATTTAGCAGTACATGAAACAGAGCAGCAAATGGAAGGATGATTATGATTGACGAATGAAAAGCAATGTGGAAGAATGAGGGCATTGTCTTTTGAAGGTACCATCACAGCACTGGCTGGAAGGACTGAATAAAACTATGAAAAATCTC